TCATATAACCTTTTGGAAAATCAACTGGAAGGAGCACCTAAAATAAGCTACTCTTATTAAATATTAAATATAAAAATCTATAATATAACTCATACCTATGACAACGAGGTGACTGCAACGCCTGGGCCTCTATGTTTTGTAGGAGTATCGTATTAAATGTATATTTCCATCTCTCCTGAAGAATATGAATGTCAAGTTATAACAAAAAATTTGTAATCGTTTAAGACGTTACTATAGAGATATTTTTTGTCTATCATTATCAGCTAATAAACCGATCACTGTCGAAGATGATAAGGTAACTTATGAACGTCGGGGTTGGTCATAACTTGAGCTACGACGTCTATTTTCGCTGTGACTCAATTGAATACTCAAAATAAAGTTAGCCCCTGGGCACGGCTATGTTTATTGACGTATGATCGCGCAAAGTTACGACCAGGACTAAAAACAGCATTTATCAATTTTATCCTTGGTCACGACTGCTCAGGGGGTTTATAAGTAGCCCCATCCTCCTCGTCGTTATTACAGCTCTTTAAAATACACTGAAAATTTAGAATGAAATGTAGAAAGTTCGGTTGGGTTTCCTTTGTAAGACCGACACCACCGCCAGGAAAGCAGCCAGAGCCCCCCACCAAAAAAAAAATAATAATTAAATAAAATAAATAAAATAACACGCCAGGGGTTGCACCCCTTCAGGTCTCGGTGGCCACACCACCACAATGGCATTTACTCCCTTAAATACGTGATTCGAGACGGCAAGCATGAACTCCTCATGCTTCCCTGTTGGGCGCTGTTGACACTAGCTCTTCACCTTGCAAAGGATGCAAAGGGGTGCCCTCTAGCCCCCTCGCGGGACAAATTGAGACCATTTAAAATAGATACCAAATGTCATCATCTGCGCATAAATTCTTTATGATATCTTCCTTGGTGTCACTAATGACGTCACTAATGAATCATTTGCATGAGTGACGCCGTGACTTGTATTTCGAGTCCAAGATGTGACCACCATATGATGTGATAACTTTTTACCACTTTTGATTATCCAATTTTACGATGAATACACCTTTTCACATATCCGTTGAGACATTGTTACGTAACTATTTGACAAATTTCATAAATGAATGACAGAACACATATCGAATGACAATCTAAAATAACTGTTCGTTCATGCTAACGGAAGTGATTGACTTAAGTTATGAAGTTGACAGACGTGAACAATAAACCGACAGTCTACATATAGTTTGAGAATGTAACAATTGGAGAATGACATACCACCAAGTTATTTTAGATTGTCATTCGTTATGTGTTCTGTCATTCGGTTATGAAATTTATCAAATACTTATGTAACTATGTCTCAACGGATATGTGAGAAAGTGTAATTCTCGTAATTTATTATATAAAATTTTTATATAAAGTTCAATTTGAGCTAAATCACAAAAATAGCAACCAAAATACTACATACCATAACTGCATCAAATATGAGATAGTCTTCAAATATATAAGAATCGACTAGTAGTTTTTAAGCTTTGGCTTATCACAGTTCATGGTGATCCCCAAAGTTCTTCACTAACTTTGTTGCTACTGTACTAACCACGGTCGTTCATGTTAGTTAACGTAAAATCAGAAGATTCATATTGCACTCAATAGTCCATAAAACATGTCGCTATAACTTCTTTATTGAGTCCCCCAGTTGAGACGTCCGTTTTCTCACAGCTTCAGTACGCCTGAGACCTCTATCTCTTAAAGTCTCACATGATATGAAGAGATTTGACATTGAGAGTGGATGCATATGTTTTACATTAAGTTAGATATATTCAATAATAGATGAAACATTCAAGATCCCTTGTGCGTGATGTTGCAAGCTTCATCTGCATTTACATTTAATAGAATTGTCAAATTCAGTGTAGAATCTGCCAGTAAAGTGAAGTATACTATTCATCCGGTTATGCATGTAATCTACTCAGTTGTATGGGTGCCTGGAGTGAACCAGTGTATGAGGGTCGCCACTTTACTTGTTGGCGAATGTAACAATGTAGCACAAGGCTATTAATCCAGGTGCTATTGAAGTATTAATGTGGTGCTATAACTAAGAGTAAGGGTGGTGCCCAAGTGTGCTATTTAAGATAATAATGTTGTCTCAAACTAAAAAAAAGTACAGTAATGGTGGATGTTGAAAGATGCATTTAATTGAGAAGTATAAATTGAGTGAAAACTTGGAATTGATCCTTGTTGTTTTGTATTATTGAATGTAGTTATAAACCTAATCTCAATTTTATAAAACATTTTTATTATGTTTGGGGTATCATTATCCCTGCATTTTTTTACCTTTGTTTCTCCCCACATCTTAATACTAGTAATTACAGTAAACCCAAGCGTCCTAACCCTGGAGCCATGCTACCACATTTAAGAGATTAGGGGGTGTCTACGATATGAAAGGTGACCAAAAAATAGCAAACACAAGCAATTAAGAAATTGAAAAAGGTAGAAAAGTGAAAAAATCCGTTCCAATTCAATAGTAATGTAACTAAATCCTACAAAATCCTTTACTGTACATAATTCTTCTCCCCATCACATCATAACTACCACTTCCTCCACCAGATGCTAGTTTCTGTAGAATCAGTACAGTATTGTACTTTTTACTTTTTACTTTTATCCTCTTCGCCACTGATCGGCTTGTTAGCCGCTTGGGCGATCGGTCACGACTCTTTTCCTTTATATTCTTCACCAAAAGGTCGGCTCGCTAGCCGCCCGGGCGATCGGTCACGTCTCTGTCACGCACTGTTGGCAAATACTGGGCATGCACCGGCTCCTGAATGTACCTGAACCCGCTCCAGTGTTGGTCAAGTCTTCTCTTGAAAGAGCTCACACTCGGTGCCGTCACAACACTTTCTGGTAGATTGTTCCAAGAGTTTACAACCCTCACTCCGAAAAAGTTTGCCCTCACGGTTTTCCGGACTTGCGGCTTCTTCAATCTTGAGCTATGACCCCTTGTGGGGCGAGCGTCCGCCAGCTCCAAGTAAGGACACTCAACTGAGTAGTGCCCCCTGAGATGCTTATAAACCTCAACTAGGTCCCCCCTTGCCCGTCTGTAGTATAAGCTAGGCAAGTTCAGGCGCTCCAATCTCGCAGGGTAGCTGAGATGCCGAAGTGCAGGCACCAGCTTGGTGGCCCTCCTTTGAACATTTTCAACCAACTGACAGTCCCTAGCATATCTCGGGGACCAGATGGGGTGACAGTACTCCAGATGGGGAAGCACTTCACTCCTGAAGATCGTCACGAGGGACGGACCGTCTAGATATCTGAACGACCTTCTTATAAGACCCAATAATTTATTTGCCTGATTTACCTTCTTCTCACAATGGCCCGAGAACTTCAGCTCATTGTCAACATACACACCTAGGTCCTTCTCACACACAGTCTCAACTAGTACATTTTCTTCATCCCGTTGGGACATATGGTACGCCTCCTTACCGTTGGTACGCCCCAGGTGCATCCTCTTACACTTCGTGACATTGAATCTCAGCAGCCATTCCTTCGACCATTCCTGGAGCCCACAGAGGTCCTTCTGCAGCTCTTCACAGTCCGCTTGGTTCTTAATTTCCCGAAATAACTTGGCGTCATCGGCAAACATTTGTATGGAGGAGTGTACAACGTCAGGCATATCATTTATGAAACAAACAAACAACAGCGGGCCCAATACACTACCCTGCGGTACCCCACTTGTTACAGGTACAGATGACGATTTCGTGCCATTAATCACCACACATTGCTTGCGGTCATGTAGAAAGTCTTCTATCCACGCTAGGACATTTCCCCGAATTCCGTACCCTTCCAGTTTGATTTTCAGCCTTTCGTGGGGTACACTGTCGAAAGCCTTGGCAAAATCTAGGTAAATATTGTCGATATTACCACCCCGTTCTAGAATATGGGTCCAAATATCCAATACCTTGAGCAATTGTGTCAAGCAAGAGCGCCCCGGCATAAAACCGTGTTGGCAATCTTTTACAAGGTTGTTTCGTAGTAGATGTTCCATCGCTGCATCTCTGATAATACTCTCAAGTACTTTACATATTATGCTGGTCAGGCTCACCGGTCTATAGTTGTTCGTGGAGTGCCTATCGCCCTTCTTGAAGATAGGACTCACATAAGCCACTTTCCATTCACTGGGGACCATTTGTTCATCCAGGCATTTACAAAACAGAATCTTCAGGGGCTCTGCAAGCTCGTTGCACAGCTCCCTTAGCACTCTAGGATGCACCATGTCAGGTCCAGGACTCTTATGGACCTTTAGCCTGGACAGTTTATTTCTAATACCCTCTTCTGTGAACACAATGTGGGTCAGTGCTGTGTCGAACCGTCTGTCCTCAAACGCAGGAAGGTTAGTTGCATCCTCTCTTGTGAACACTGAGGAAAAGAAGCTGTTCAATGCCTCAGCTTTATCCTGGTCAGAATCTGCGTAACTACCATCTTCAAGCCTCAGGTCTGATACTCCTACTCGCGTTTTCAATTTCGACTTTGCATAGCGGTAAAACGCCTTTGGGTTTGACTTGACCTCGCGTGCAACCAGCCTTTGGAACTCCTTTTCAGCCCTCCTACACTCTATCTTTGCTTGGTTTCTGGCTCTTGCATACATCCTCCTGTCTTGCTCATCGTTTGACCCAACCCACGTCTTGAATTTCTGGGTTTTCTTCTTAATTTTATCGACCGCCGCATGGTTCATGTGTAGGGATCCCCTCGTATTCCTAGAAGCACTGGGTTTGGTCTTGGGTATATATTTATCGATCAAATGGGTCATTCTACTAGTTATGATATTCAGCGTAGTGTCTGCGTTCTTGTACCTTAATAAGTCAGGCCAGTTGATACCCCTCATCTCTTCCCTACATTACCCCATGCCTATCTGAGAGCAATTTGCAGTATAGAACTTACCCGTTTTAAGTAAATGCTCAAAGGATTCTAACCATAATTTATTAGGATTATAACGGTAACAGAAAAATCAAACCAGGTTGCAAATTAATATAAAATTTATTTATACAAAACAGTACAGAGAAAGCAAGAAATCACAGTACACGGAATGTCTTATCAGAAGACAGCCTGAAAAACCTGGAGGAAAATCTTTGTGACATAGCTACTAAATTGTCTACTACGAGCCTAAACAAAAAGATGATAATTCATCCATTAGAAGTAAAATTCAGTATACAGTACATACATACCCTATGTATTAGAAACAAATTGCCCTAAAACATTTGTGATTCTAGAAAGAGCTAGCAATATTTTTCAATAAAATAATAATTATGAAAAAGATACAACTACTATCACAATAATAAGGCACGTGATTGTATGATTGTTACAATGCATTTCGAATAGAATATGGTCAGGGCAGGAACACAACCAGCTTCTAATACTTAATAATACAGATCTGGAATTTTCTGGGAGCAGCTACCCCTACCTTAAAATTTCAGGTAAAGTACAATCGAACATGTGCAAGCATTAAAATTCCTGAAACTGCGATTTTGCAACAGCAAGACTTGACGAACAGTGATCCAAGAAACCACAGGGGTACAGCATATGCAATGTTGACTTGGGATACCCAAAACTGACATGAAGAAATGCCAACCAACATCTAAGAAGCTTCTCATACGATACCACCCAAAGCATTCTGGGTATAATAGTGCCCTGCAAATACGAGGCTATTCACAGATAATACTGTGCTTGGGAACTGAAGCACTGACTGTTTTGCTTTGCATTATTGGGTTCCCCAAGGATTATGAGACTATGGTTATCAATATTGTGAGCATTGCATGAGAAGAAACTCATGCAAGGAGACTAGATCCACTTCTTGAAGTCTGACTCCATTACCTTATCTTTCACTCAAGAGAATCATGCAAACCTCTACATCCACATTCTGAAATTACAATCCAGTTCATATCCACAAATTTAAATTTACCTACATCAAAATTCTTCTATGTGCTATTAAGAACGAAGAAGATTTTTTGACCCCAGAATATGCATGAAGATACCACTGTCCATGTATTTACAAAATGACTAAAATAAAGTAATATGAATTGACTAATTCAGACTAATTAGTTGAAAAGCAAATAATTTAAGTTTAATCTCACCATATAATTACCTAAAAATCTTTTTTACATATCAGAAATTACTTGTGCTCACACTTCTGCTGGTCTTTCTACCTATTAATCTAGAATTTCTTGTAGTGGGTCCCCGTCTTACAGGTGGTAAAGAAGAAACACTAACAGGAGTAGGTGCCACTCCAGAAGCTACTGCAACTAGGGTAGAGGTTACATTGCTCGGAGTTAAACTCTGGAGACACTTGGCTGCCTCTTTGAGTTGCCGAGATAATATATCATTTTTTAGTCTTTCCGCATTTAGTTCACGCCGTAGCTGTGCACGGGACATAATTGTTGCTGGGCAGAGTGTGGGATGGTAAACCAACTGTGATGCTGTAGGCCGAACTGTTGGGTCAACTTCCACCATCTGTTTTAGTAAGAGTTGTAGTTCCATGGAATATCCAGGTAGTGGCTGTAACTCCCCATTACGAATTGCATGCCACTCATCTCCATTAAGAGGCAAAGGTTCGCCTCTTATTGCTTCGTAAATTGTGAGTCCAAGAGCAAAAACATCTGCCTTTGGTAACTGAGAGAAGTTTTCTTGCAGGATCTCCCGAGGGAGATACCTGCAGTCACCCTCTTCCACTTGAGGATTAACCATAGATGTAACATGACCAAGATCACCTGAAACAGACAGATCATACTTTGAATGTTTAAGATTACAAATCATCTGAAGAACACGTTATTCATTTCTCACTTTTCTAAATGGTGGAATAAGGGTAAGGAAACAAAATCATTAAAGAATGGAGGAACTCCATGGGTGTGGTGCAAGACAACTGTGAAGAACAACATGAAAGGGTGAACATAAAAAGCAGAGAACCACTCACACACATTCATAACCTCAACTAGTAAACATAATACACCACAATGTTACACAAAACTGTATATCACAGCACCTGCATATGAAACCAAGTTATCAAATTCAACACCATTGGTTACTGCACTACGAACAATCCCAACTCATTTTTACTACTGTTTAAGTCTTATGAAAACTTTCAGATTTTGCTACATCACCTTATTCAATCACTTTGCCTTCTGGTTTAATCAATCTCTTTCCTGCCATTATCGTTATATACTTACTGCACTACCATGTCCTCCAACTCACTCATTAACAGAATATCATCCAAACATAATAAATGAAATATCTCCCACTTCGTTTTATTTTACACAAATAGTCTGTTCTCGCTTTTATTCCAATTTTATCCATCCATGGAAGTTTAGCAAATCTATCTCACACACACACACACACACTTCCTTTCCATTTACGCTCATACATGTACCTTAATGTAAATGACACCGTAAAATGGTTTAAGGGAATGCAAGAATTATATTGTTCTTAACGTGGATGACGTTTAGTATAATATATCGGACATGGAAACAATATCCATAATAAATAAAGTGCAGGGGTAATACAAGTACTTATCAGGTTTGCACTGGTACTGAATACTATACTACAGATTATGGAGTATGTCAGAACAAGGACAGAGATACTAATATAAATATATATACTATATTTGTAGATGGCAAACTAAAGAGATGAAAATCAGTACTGGAAGAGAAGGGAGTCGAAACGAATGTTAAGTGCGAGTAGAGAACTTAAAGGAAGCGAGGCATCTCGTGTATGTATTGGCAAATGGACAATTTTATTTAAGCAGCCATCTAAATATTTGAAGTGAAATTTGACCAATAGCATGATGTGATTTAGAGCAACAAATAGGCAGGAAACTTATAGTTATACTGTTTGGAAATAAATGGAGGGGGAAGTTAACTTACCAATTTTATAAGTAACTTCTTCCTCTTCTTCTACATGTTCCTCTTCAAACCCATCATCAGCAGACTCTTCACCCTGCAAGTTTACTTTTTGTTCCCGCGAGACAAAAATGTTGGCAGGCTTAATGTCCATATGCACTAACTGAAGAGAATGTATATACCTGCAGGTGAAAAAAAAATAGTTAATGTTTTTCATCAGAAGCAAATATTATACAATAAAATAATGGTTTAAGATCAAACAAATGCTACATTGATACAGCAATAGTCACCAATAATATTACTGTATAACGTACAAGTATTATACTTACTTTAGACCTTTGGCCACATGTAGCAGTACTTGCTTTAGGACATGCTCACCGATTTTTCTACCCATTTTATTCTTTTCTATTAAGTCTGCCAGGGAGCCACCATTACAATATTCATTTTGGATTAACATGTGATCATTCTCCGCCCAAGCTGAGTAGTATCGAACAACATGGGGATGCTTTCCCAAGACAGCATGTGCATAAACTTCATTTAATGCTATTCTCCTGCAAGAAAAAAATTGAAAACGTTAATACTTCAGCAAGTATAGTAAATATGTATAACTAAATCAGCAAAACATTACACAAAGGCAACCTGACAAGGATGAAGGAAAATGTAACCCGTAAATAGGATTTTTGTGCAAGTCCTTTACAGTCTAGTCTAAAAGAATGCAAATCCAATACAGTATTAATAGAGAAGGGACATGGGTATCAACTAACTATAATTATAGTACAAATTAAATTAACCAAGAATGAAAGCAGTCGTGTACTGTATAAATGGATTAGTTGCAATATAGTTAAATTATGACACCACACTGAAATAATCGACCAAATTTTTATTTTACATACTGTATAGGGGATTACACATGCTTTCCAAAAGGTTTAACCAGATATTTTTTAAATAATTAATCTTAGGTAAAAGTTCACTACTTACTCATTTACTGATCCAGCAACAGGTTTAAGAGATTTCTTAATGGCATAAACACACCCATCTAACCGATGTCGACATTTGTAAACTCCTCCAAACTCTCCTTGCCCTATTTGTTCCATTTCAAGGAATTCATGTTTATATCTGGAAACATTGGCCTCGTGTATTGCTAACCTCTTGGTTGGTCGCCCAGCCTCATCTTCACACTCATCACAAGAGTCATTACAACAACAATCTTCTAGACTTAGATCCATGCTCTCAGTCGTTATGGTTTCACTGTTAAAAGAAAGAAATCATATGAATGTTTTGGAAACATATGGGACCCCCCATCGTAACTCCAACCACAAAACAATTGCATTATAGTTTGGCTGTTTCAGCTAAATATGGTATTTACTATCTAGAACAAAATATAAAACAAAGAAAACAAAACTTTGATGATTGTTACAGTTTAAGAATTTCTGGGATGCCACATTAACAATAGCTTGTATTTAAGTAATTTTCGAGTGCTTAGTGCAAATCCAACATTGGAGAAAAAATAATAACTTCCCAAACTGCAAGTAGCCCATGGTTTCAGTTTACTTGAATACGCCTGCTAACCCTATCCACTGAAACTTATGATTCAAAGACAATCCCAAAGAAAACTTATTAAATTATTGTAATATAATATAATACATTACAATATTGTACAGTATTATTAAAACTTTCAAATTAGGCCCATCAGTATTTTGTAATGAACCTTACAAGCACCAAACATACCCACTGAAATTTAGAATTTTTGCTAATAAAGTTCTTTAACCTTTAATTATGAAAAACTGGAGTTGATAGATTTATCGTCCAAAAAGAAATTTCGTAAAAAAATTATTTTGGCTTTTAAAATGAGTGCCTGATACAAAAACCACTAACGCATCGATGTTAGAAAAACTTTATACAATATATTTAATGTCCATTATCAAATAGTCTACAGCAGTATTGTGGTTCCTTTGTCTTGGCAGTACCAGCTGCAGTATCATTTATTTCAAAATGGGAAAAATCAATCAACCCAACCCCAATTAAGTTTGTTGTTTCCTTTTACAAACTTTAAAAGGGGGGAGGGGAGGAATGCGAAGTTTAAAGCATATGATGGGTTAAAACTGACAAGTTACTTTACATAGGATATATAATTATCTCCTTTCAACACCCGATTTACCATATTAAATTTTGTTATTGGCCTAGTGCTGGGTAGTTAGGGGAAAAAAGTTAGCATGAATTTATATTATATTATATAATATATCCTTAAGCGGTTTCTGTATTTATATAATTCATAATACTGTATAATTTTTGCCAACTGTAATAAACACTAACTGAGCAAGCATAAATTTGTGCATGCAAACATTTGGTAAAGCTCTAAAAAGGGTCGAGTGACTAACTGTCCTACCTAATATCGCGTAAGAGACTGCAATATTATTAACGGATTCAAGTTAATCCAACAGGTCTACGAAACTGTTTAACTTTAAACGAACCCAAACGAAATTAATATTCAAAACGGTTAGACAGTATAATGAAAACATCAAAGATGTACCCAGTCAAAATCTGTATTACGAAGCCATACTCATCTACCCAAGAAGCCATTAAAGACTCACAAGCCTATAAAGCCCAGGGTCAGTTTACGCGTGTTAAACCCCTACCGGTCAAAATCTGCCGCGCGTAGCAACAGCCACTGCCACCAGCCTCGCCCACATAACATTTAATTGACATTATGACTAAACCATAACATTGGCGTTAAATCAAACTGACGGAATCTTCATTAATATTTGGTCTCACTGGATATGGAAAAGGGTATTATAAGGTTAAAAGGGAGGTAGTAATAAACAAACAATACGTTGGGCGGTGTGGCAGCGCGGGGCTGGGTGGTGGTGGTGGTGAGGGAACTCGTCACCTTACCACACCACCGACCAAAATTTCGGGAGTCAATGATCACATTATAACCTGGACTGCAGATGAATAAAACTGTGAAAGTCAATATGGGGAGGAGAGAAATATTCTTTAATTACTGTATTTCATTTACTATATTTTTTTTACAATATTGTCACTCAAAATTGAATACCTATTTCTTATATTGCACGTGAAAAGCTATAACCTTAACACAAAAATAAAATGCTTACCCAGTTGAAGAGGCGAGTTCCCTTCTTGATCTTGTTCGCTTCCTTGAGGATAACAACATCCCTGTTGGTGTAAACGGATTGATATTTGCAACTTCTTTGGTTACACATTTTCCTTGATCTTTCGGTTGTGCTGAAGAAGTAGGTGGTGTGACCGGTGTCGTGGTCACCTGGGTGGACGCAGGCACCACAGACCTCTGTCGTAGAGTAGAGAATAGTCTTGATCGCGAGGTGGGTTTGTTTGCAGATTCTGTCGTGCTTTTCTGGAGGAGTGTTTTAGGCGTCGCTGGAGAATCAAAAAGACGTAGAGCTCTGATTTTCTTATATGGCGGAGAATCTATAGCAACTTTTGGCGAAGTATTAGATTCTTGTCTCATAACGGGTCTTGAGCCTTTCCTGGGGCTGAAGAGACGGGCTGGGGATGGACTGGGCGGTGCCATGGTAGTCAAATCGTCCCCAGAGAGATCGCCGCCATCGTCAACATCACAGCCAGAACTCAGCGTGCGAAACGATGTGTTCACTTCTTCGTCATCACAGCTGTCAAAGTCTAACTTCATCGCCACGTCCATGTTTACCACTTCACACTAAAATTGCCCCAAGATGAAACATGCCACAAAAGCACCATATAGTCAAACGCCAACGAAGTCTGTCACGAAACTGAGTAGTGGTTCTGCCTCCACGGCTTCATCATCTCAACTTAAAATGGAAGCGCCTAACGCGCAGCATTATGGGAGTCGCGCCTCCACCAATCACAAGCGACGAGTAGTACTATGGCCAATCAGCGCGTAGCGTGCTGTCGTGACGTCATATGCGCACGCCTCGAGACTCCCGACAGTCCCGCCAAATCCCAGCTGATCCCGATCACGTGATTATGTCTCATGTTCCCAGAGTTTAATTTTATTAATTTATTTCACCTTCCTATATAAAAGACGTTAATATATAATATAATAATAAAGTTTGTTCATTAGTTACAGATTAATTCATGTAGTTTTTGCAAGATTAAAACAAGGAAAGAATTTAAAATCATTCAAAGAGACACATGGCAAAGTATTTGTTTTGAACCATACCTTCCCACCAGCTTGTGTACAGCGTAATTCATTTCAACGATCTCACGATAGTACAGTATCACTACTCATTTACAACCATACGAGTATGTGCAGAACACAGGAAGACTTGTGAATGATTAGGTTGAAACACGTTGTGTCACAGATCTGAATAAAAATTCGTTATTTAACTTATCTTACACAATTATCCGTTACAACTAACCATCACGGGATACTAAATTTACGTGATCAGCAGAGATGCAGCATCAAACATGCCCGCACATTTGCATAGCGCCGCCCACTGCCACTGGAAGTAGTTTCATAGTTTTATTTCAAGATCTTAACATATTGCACAAAATATATGCTAGCTAACCGTGGAATTGGGGAAAATGTATGTGAATAATAATTCATATTTGGGATACGTATTATGGATACAGAAATCATTTTGTTATTATGAAAATGAGTATTCGGTAACTTTTCATTCACGACAGGAAAAGTTTTTGTACCTGTAGAAAGGTTCATTTCACATGGTTTGCGTAGTGTCAATACTATCAATATTTCCGTTGGTATAGTCAAATGGAAATGTTACCTTAGGCATACATACTTTGCCCTCTTATACCGTACAATATTTGTATATGTTGCTTCAAGATTGTGTAGGCGTTTTGTTAACGCTAATAAAGCTGGCAAACTTATACTCTCGCGAGAAAGAGTTGAGAAAGCGTACACGACAAATACGCTCCGCTAATAATTCTGGACACATCCGTTAGGGAGATCTGACCTGTTGCATCATGTTATATTGCTACATACGACCACAGCTCACACTCCAACACCTACTAAGTTATTCTCCTTCTCTTAATTTCAGTAATTTCGAAATTGATAAAAGAGGACTGTATAAGATAAGAATTATTTAATTTTAACAAATTTGTACAATAAGTGTAGTTGGAATTAAAGGACACGGGTAGGTGGAACTACCCAGCGTACCTACCTGTTGAGGAGCTGTGACGTCATGGGAGTGGCATGCACCCGTTGAACCCAGTCCGTCACATAGCCGGCGTCCTACACCGCACTGAGTCACGGAAAGTGATGTTTGCATTGCCCAGATGCCCTAAAGAATTTTCCTAACTAGACGCCCGTGTATACATCCGCCTAACTACCAGAGCGTGATGTATCCCCGAAAACTCTTCCTTTATTAAATACCATGGACGATGTCATCAGTCCAAAAGGCATTGTTTAACTACCACACCCTTGCACCAGGTACTCGAGTTCAATAAAAAAAAATAAGACAACAGACATGATGGACCACCAGAAAATTGGGCACCCCGGCTTATTTCACCTAAGGCTTAAACACCCTGCGCTAATATAACCTAGCCTACTCCCCCAGGCAGCGATAGGATGTTTAATCAGCAGGTGAAATAAACTGGGAGGGCTAATCTAAAGGTGATCCACAGTGTTGAACGCGAGGGCGAATTTATATTCATAATAGCCAGCGAACTGTTTGCTATATAATGACAAAACACGAATGAAGGAATTGCAGCAGGCCTATTGGCCCATATTAGGCAGTCTTGTTTAAGGCACTCTTAAAAAATGGCACCGGAATGACACAGGAATTAAAGGCGCAACTGTTAAACTTGGAAAAATATTATTTTGTACCCTTTGCTATATCACCTTTATTTAATTCCGATTTCCATTTATACAATTGAGTCATATTTTCTCTCGCTCTACGTCTCTTAAAGGAATGTAAATTAAATTCTCTTAACTTGTTTCTACACTCAAGGTTTCTGGGTTTAGCTTTGTGATCCTACACTGATGGCAATGTTGACAATAATAATAATAATAATAACAGTAAAATAATAATAATAATAATAATAATAATAATAATAATAATAGTTGAGCCTCAGTGTTGCTCGGCGTTCGTCAGGGTGTCTGCCGCTGTCTCATGCTACATGTCCTTGACTTTATTTCCGTGACTCATCCTACACACCCATGACTACATCTACCTACCTATGATTTCTTCCACCTGTCTATGATTCACCCTAGCCGTCTATGACTCACCCTACTTACACGATTAATCCTACCTGTTCATAATTTACTCTACCTGCTAATAATAATACTACTTACACTGACCCTCCCCCTGCGCGACTCATCCTAGCTATCTATGACTCACACCTCAGCCGAGTCAATGTGCCCCAAGTTGACAGCTGCTCTGCGTCTTCTAGTAATGGGTCTACACAAGAAAAGGTTCGTAGACTAAGTTTAAATTATTTCGAACTAATTCACTTAAATGTATGGCAAATACACTCGCGGCTAAAATAAAGTCGAAGGAACTGTAGACGGAGACTCGACCTATATCGTAAGACGTCGAAATTGTTCTGATTTCTGAGGGTTCGTAAGTCAAGTCTTACATTCTACATAGTGTATGGATATGAACACAGCATGTAGGCGAATAAGCAACAATATGAATTCAGAGGAAAGAATTCAGAGGAGAATGACAAGACTAATCCCGGGCATTAGGAACCTTGAGTATAGAGACAGGTTAAAGCATCTTAAATTGCACTCCCTCGAGAGACGTAGAGCGAGGGGCGACCTGATAGAGGTGTATAAATGGAAGTCAGGGCTAAACAAAGGGGACATTGCAAAGGTACTCAAACTATCCAACCAGGAGCGAACTCGTAATAATGGTTTTAAGTTAGACAAATTTAGATTTAGGCGCGAAATAGGTAAACACTGGTTTGGAAACAGAGTAGTGGATGAATGGAACAAGTTACCAAATATCATCATTAACTCGAATACGCTGAATAGCTTCAAACATAGGTTGGTTGCTTATATGAGCAATAGGGGTTGGGTGTAAACGGGACTGCCCAGTATGGGCCAATAGGCCAGCTGCAGTTTCCTCCATTCTTATGTTCTTACTACTACTAATGATAATATACATTTCAATTGTCAGTCTTTTTCTCGCAAGGCTAAAAATTATATCTCAATACAAGACAAAGTATGAATTACCTACTACTCCCCGTCAACTATTCCTCCTAAATGCTGTAACCGATGTATTCAACTCTAATGTGCCTCTTCCATCTGGTTGACCCACTAGACCCCATCACCCCATCTTCATAAGACCCACTAGACCCCCATAATCCACTCTACACCGTACATGCGTGAACTCTCTGCTTCTTAGTATTTGGACCCTCCTCGTCTCCTCTTTCTTACCGCCCACTTTTGAATTAAACACAGCTTATTCTTTCGTTCTCCGTTCTCTAAATATGTCTTTACAACCTTAGAAAACCCTGATTGGCATCATATGAAGATTAGCACCCCCCAGCTTATTTCACCCGATGGTAAATACCCTGGGAGTTAGGTTAGCTTAATTTAAGTTAGGTTAGGGTGTTTAATCATCATGTGAAATTAGCAGGAGTGTTAAATCTTAATATGATCCAGCAAATAATGTTTCGTTATATATTCTGAGTGATGCAAAAAATAAAAAATAAATAAAAAACTTAAGTTTTATTATAAAACTCGAAGATAATATATTCTTTCCTAATAAGGTCCGCAGAAGAAACAAAACAGGAACTGATGATTTATGGTGAAATAATTTTTACAATTATAAAAAAAAAGAGAATTAATGTTAAAACAGGAACTTGGTAAAAATATAAACAAAACGGATATGACAACAATAAGTGGTGTATAAAATATCGGTGGGAGACAAACAAGTTGAACGTTCCAAGAAGTGATTCGGTTTATACTGGCCGCTGACATATGGCTGTTCAAGGTCGCTTTCACAATGGCTCACTATCCCTTTTGTGGCACATTGCTGGCAACCGTGCGTGTGTAGGCATACATGTATGTGTATGTGCTCAGGTGTGTGGACATATGTGTACGTGTAGGTGTAATTATGGGTTGATTTGTGTGTACTGTATATGTTTAAATAAGGTGTACTGTAACTGTGTGAATGTGTCTGTGTCTGTGCCAACGGTTAGACATCTGGGCTCCCGCACGTCAAGGTCAGCTGGCAACAGTCCCCGTCTGGTCTTCCGGATTCACGTGACTTGTTTTTTACATAACCATATCTAACTTCCTGTCGGACGCTCGAATTAAAAAAATATCGTGTGGGGGTATTTTCGTGTTCACGCCGAATTAACATAAACGAAAGGTAAATATATATTAGGATAACTTTGCGGGAACCTACCACTGAGTTTTAATTAAGGCTACATAACTCCTAGGTGATATAGCAGTTAGAATGAAGGTTAACTGTAACACTAACCACGGGCGGTTAATTTCCGCTGGGTTTATGATGCCTCCGGATGCTGTGTCCTTTTCTCACACCACTGAATGTATGAAACAGTCACGTTATATCCATAAACTATGTATGTGATAAAAATAAATAAACAGGGTACAGTAGAGCGCCCGCACACCATGAGTCAGTCACAACAGGATGAGTCACAACAACGGGTTTACTCGGTTTAGCTCCAAGATAGTCACATGATAGAGGCCGGTCCTGTGTCTTCCGAATAACAGCTTTTGTACACCTCCAAATGAACCTCTGTTGGGTTGTAAATGACGAAAGGATTTAAGAAATGTCTGACCTGTTCGCTATAATTCCCTTCATTTTTATGTATCTTATGTGAACACAAACGTTGCTCTGTGAATTTCAAAAGAGCAAAAAAAAAAACTAAC